CGTTCTACAATTGTTTCCCTTTTTTAGGGTGTGCCAAATGTTGATTTGATTTGGCTTATTTGAAATTGACAAGCATATAAAAGCTTGAGATTTTTAGAAAACTGGTCAAGATTTTTTTTTTTTTTTCATGTGTAAAAGAATCCATGCTCGATGTGACCGGGTTTTTTTTACAGAGTCCACTCTCCATGTTCTTCCTAACGGAGTCTGTTTTTACTCAACTCGAACGCTTCTTTCCATCCTATGCCTTTCTTTCTTCTTCTGTATGTCTCTGCTGCTCCCACTAAAAAAAAACACAGGCACCTTGACAACCTTCGGTTCACTTTCCCTATTCCTTCTGTGGTCTTCTCATTGACTGCACTAAAAGAATTGTATGGTCCTTTCCTAGCCGTTTTTTGTGCTATATACATTTCCCACCTCTCCTCTTGCTCTTACACTCGTTCCTTGTTCGCCCCCTTTGTCTTCCCCCTTCTTCCATTCACCTCCATCTGTGTGCCTTAACTAGAAAGGGAAATGGAGGCTAATAAGGCATCCTGCACATGTTCCCTGATTACTTATAGTTTTTTTTGTTTTTTCACTTCGCACGAGCCATTGTTTTGAGCATCCTCCTATGTATGTACTGTCATTTCGTTTGCAGGCTTCAAGCCTCTGATCTGGATTGGAACTGTCAAACGTTCTTTTCTTGTCTGTGCATGCTCTCGCAGGTCTATTGTTAGCAGCCAAATCAATGGCTCAATCCCTCCAGCTATCACCTCTCTTTCAAACCTGGAAATCCTGTAAGGCTTATGACTACCTGGTGTGTGCTTACATTCCTCCCCCCCCCCCTTCTTTCAAACCTTGGCACATCAGAGCAAAGCAGATGAGCAGTCAGTCCATCAATTCATCAGTCAGCCCAGTATCTTGCCATCCCATCAAATTCATGATCCACAATGAATAGGGTAATCCTTTCATTGGGTAGTGGACCTGTCATCAATCCATCCTTCATTCCATTCATTCATCCATCCATCCCTCATGACTCTCCACGGACCTGTCCCGCAACCAAGACACTGGGCCCATCCCTCCATCCCTGTCACGCATGCCCCTCATTTCCCCCTTGTCTCCAGGGACCTATCCCACCAGCTCGCATTTTCCCTCACATTCTTCCTGCAAAGCTAATCATCCATCCGTCCCCCAAACCTTCTTTGACTCTCCTCTCCAGGGGGACCTGTCCCGCAACCGGCTCGTCTTTTCCCTCACGTTCCTCCTGCGAAGCTAATCATCCATTCATCCCCCCGTCACTCCTTTGACTCTCCAGTGACCTATCCCGCAACCAGCTCTCTGGACCCATCCCTTCAAAGCTTGGCTTTTTGGACCGTCTGGTCTCACTGTGAGTGCCTGCCAACACGACCACCCAACCATGTGCCAAAATTCCAACCTTACATCCCATGCCCATCCCATGCCCTTTGCACGTTCTCTTCGTTAGCATAAGCTGCCCTTCAAAACTCGGGTTCTTGGACCGTCTGGTCTCACTGTGAGTGCCAGACACAACACGAGCACCCATCCATGTGCCAAAATTCCACCCTTGCACCCCCACCCCATGCCCGCTGCACTGCACGCTTCCTTTGTTAGCGTGAGCTGCTCTAGCACAATATACCCTTCCCGGTGGTTCCCCTCACTCCCTCGCTGGCACGCTACCGCATCCACATGCTTTGTAGTTGCTACCACTGTTGCTGCTGACTTACTGATTCTTCTGCTGCTGTCGCTGATGCTGCTGCTGCGTGCTTCTGCTGTGGTTGCTGCTTCTACTCCTGCTTTTGCTGCTTTTGCTACCACCATCACTGCGGTCACTGCAACCAGAGCTCTTTTCGATTCACCAGTACATTTTCATCTCCGCAACTTGTGTGCTAACTGACTCACATGGCGCGCACACGCAACTGCAAGCTTATCACAAGAAATCATTTTAATGCATGAGCGAACCTGTCCTGTTCTCATATACCCACGCTTTATCCAACCTCCCCTGTGCCCCTTTGGCTTACAGGAACTTAGGCTTTAACTCGCTCTCCGACTCCATCCCTTCGAAACTCAGCTGGTTATCCAATCTCGTCTACCTGTAAGCCTTTCCTTAACCACAAGTTGTTCTCAACTCAAGTTGCTACTCAAGTTGTTCTCTCCCCATCTCACACCTGTGTGGTCTGTCTATACAACTACTCCAAAACGGTTCCTTGCCATTCGCAGCATGCCAAATTTTCCCTTCCGATTCTTATGTTACAAGATCCTTGTGCTACTGTGTCGTGTCACTTGCATTCTTGCTTACCAGCCATCCCCTCGGGTTTCCTCCATGGGTTGGGGTGGGTGGGAGTTATAACTTGGAACACAAGGATTGGAGCGCGCAACTTGCAAGCATGCTCTGCTGGATGTGTGCTGCCTTGTTTGCAATCAAATCAATCCATCCATCCTTCTGCTCTCCCTCTGTCCCATCCGTCCGTGTGCTCTCCTCTCTCATCCGTCTCCTCTTCCTGTGTGTTCCATCCCTCTGCTCTGCTTTCTGTTCGGCACAGAGATCTAAGGCTGAACAAACTTAGTGGCCCTCTCCTTCCGTCCCATCCGTGTACTCTCCCTTCTAATCCTCCTTCTCCCCATCCTGTGTGTTCCATCCCTCTGATCTCCTCCCTGTACCGCACAGAGATCTAAGGCTGAACGAGCTCAGTGGACCTCTCCTCCCAGCTACCATCACCCCTCTGAAGAGTCTCCAGGAGCTGTAAGGCGGATCCTCGTGTGCTTACACCAGCTTCCTCGTTATAAGCGTTTTAAAACATCACAGACCTCAATCACACGTGACCAGTTCTGTATAAGCGTTTACCACATTCATCAGATGGTACATTAATGAATGGTTGTGTGACCGTATCTGTCAATCTGTGTCTGTCTGTCTGTCGCAGGTGGCTTGACAGGAACAAGCTCACTGGATTCATTCCAACCGTCATTGGCTCCCTGACCAATCTCGTGCAGTTGTGAGTGGCAGGCAAATGATACGTGTGCATGGGTAGCAGATGTGATACGAATGTCCTCATTTCAGATTCAGCTCACAGCTTTCTTAGCACTCAATGTTCTCTTCGCCCCCTCCCTCCCCCCCCCCCCAACGCCATGAATAGCAGCGCATTCTGTGTGTATACGCTCTAGCGCCATTTGCATGTGTCTCTCCTCTCCTCTCCGCTCCTCTCCCTTCCTCTTTCCTCTCCTCTGCTGCTCTCACTTCCGCTTCTTTTATCTCACCATTTTCTCCTCCCCCACTGTGCATGCAGTGCAGTGTGCATCTCATATTTCATGCACCATCATGTCTTCTTCACAATACCTTCCACAATACCTTCACCGTCCCGTGCCTCCACAATATCAGATCTCATACCACCATTTCTCCACCATGCCTCCACCATCCCTCCGCCATGCCTTCACGTGATGCCTCTTAGATCTCTTGCCAACAACCTGTTTTATGGGAGCATACCTAACGTAGTCACTTTGCTCACAAAGCTCAAGACTTTGTAAGGCCCGATTGATTGCCTGCTGAGGATCCCACTCACGTGTTGTTTTCATGCCTTCCTTCTTTCAAACCAAGGAAGGCTCTCGTGCTCTTGTTTGAATGAAATGCTGCATCACTCTCACGAAGCAACTCCCGCATTTATCTACCCTGCACAAGAGAGCATGCTGTCAAGTCAACCATTGAATACACTACTCTGTGTCACTATGCCCCTCTTCCCTGTTTTCAGATTACCACCTACTACTTGCTCTTGCCAGGTCTACCCCGAAGGAGGGCATTTTTGGTCGACTCAAAAATCCCCTCAAAATAGACACACCTTTTTCACTTGCTGGCCCCGATCCTACACAAACGAACCACAACTTGTATCACTCTCGTCTCGTCCTCATACTCTTGTTCTGTATCGCATGACAACACTGAACTTACTATGATGCTTTCCGCCCCTGTGCTTCTTCTGCCCTGTCTCCAACCCCCCCCCACAGCGACCTCTCCCACAACTATTTCACAGGCACCTTCGTCAAACCAGCTGATGTGCTGGCTGTGCTTTCATACAACTACCTCTCGGGCACTCTGCCTGCACAGCCAACAGACTTGCTCGACGCAAACTGCTTCAAACTGGCCGACGGAGAAACCTCACCAGTGCAGCGTCCCGAGTCAGAATGCCTGGCGTTTTGCGGCATCTCTATGGGCTCTATTGCCCCTCTCTGCACCGGGCACGGGACGTGCTACCCCGACGGGCCTAGCTTGGTGCCTACCTGCTTGTGCGATACAGCACAAGGGTACAATCTGTTTCGACGGGTCTTTTGTCTTGTTGATGGTAAGCTTCTTTCTAGGTGCCAGAAAATCCGGGCACGGGGTGTGCTACCCCGACGGGCCTAGCTTGGTGCCTGCCTGCTTGTGTGATACGTTGCAAGGGTACAACTTGTTTCGATGGGTCTTTTGCCTTGTTGATGGTAAGTGAAGTGAATGGGGCCATAGTTTCGCGGAGAGAAGGCTTGAAGGGATATTGGTGCAAGCAAGCTTGAAGGGTACATGTGAATCCCTGTGCTCACAAAGCTTCTCTGCTTGATAATCTGCCCATGTTTGAAGGGTACACACCCTCCCTCAGACAAACATACATCCTGATTTCAGCTCACACATCATCACAGCACACCATCCCTTGGAGCATTCCAGCATTCAATCTCACACACTCTCCTAACCCCTGCATCTTTTCCTCTTTTTGGCTTCTCTTTCCCATCCGTACTACTCTTTCCCACAATTTCGCAGACACAGACCCTGTCTATCCAGTAGAGGAGGAAATTCTCCCTGTGTCAACAGTGTTCACATCCTATCCTCATCCTCTCCTTGGCTTCTTTTTTCCATCCTTCCCCACAATTTCCCAGAAACGGACCTTGTCTCTCCAGTGGAGGAGGGAATTCTCCCTGCGTCAACCGTGCTCACAGCAGGAACGAAAAAGGAGGCAGTTGGGATATTCAACCCAGACCCAGTCCCTCTCTTCATGTACGAAGCTGGGCGTGTGTACCCAGGCTGTGGGTTCGAGCTGGCCTTCAGTGTCAACTTCACCTTCGCCCTCTCGCCTAAGGGCAAGGAAATCTCAAACGGCTTCGCTTTTGTCGTTTCGGCGACCAACACAGTGGGGAGCGACGTTGGCGTGGGCTACGGTGGGATGGACACCCGAAGCATGGCGGTTGAGTTTGACATGCTTCAAAACAAGCCGCAAGACACCATCCAAGTCCCGCACGTGGGGGTGAATATCCAGGGTCAGGAGAAATCAGTCGCCGCTGTGAAGTCCCCGTTCCCACTGGCCAACAAGAAGCCATACACGGCATGGGTGGACTACGTGCCTGGGGACCCCGGATTTGTTCGGGTGTTCCTCGCAACAACAGCAGTGAAGCCAATGAAGCCGCTGATAGAGACCCGCCTGTCGCTGTGTGCAGTGCTGAAACCAGGGCCGTCCCAGGCTGTCCCAGAGCAGCCGCGGGCGTTCTACATTGGCTTCTTGGCGTCCACCACAGTGAAGCCGTTCATGATTCATACCATTACGAGCTCTTACCTGCGCACAGGTGAGAATCGGGCTGGTAGCTCCTTTGTTGCCTCACAGATATCCCGCTACCATGCAGACTCCTTTGATGGCTTACCATTCATACCCTCCTCACTTCTGCCCTGCGGACGGGTGGGTGGGAACGCTCGCTCACGCCAAAGCCCTAGAGGAGAATCTGACCCCTAGGCTGCTTGCACTTGTAGCCGTTACACTAACCTCCTGGCCTTGTGAACCCTCCCAGCGTCGATCAATGCCCCCAGAACCGTTCTGTTGCTTTCCCTCTTTCCTCCTTGCCTGCATTCCTTCCTGCAGGCGCTCCTCCTCCACTTGCAACAGTCAACATCAATCCAGACAAGTCCTTTTTATGCTAACACAGAATCAATCAATCGAACATGCTTCACCCACGAGTGGGTGATTTTCTAAGTTCACTAGAATCCAGAATCGATCAATCCAGGCAAGTCCTTTCATGTTCACTAGTACCTCTAGAAATCGAACCTTCTCACTGTTCTGACATGCTTTCTTGTCTTCTAGGCTCTAACACATAGCTTCTCCATGGCAGAACCAGTGGCATCTATACATCTACCCGTCACGTTCCCTCTCACCTTTCCACCAAACCTATCCCTCTGCGGCTGCCTCTCTCTCCCAAATTTCTCACACACCAATGTCCCCTGCTCTCCAGCCTATGGTCTAAACGTAACGCTGAATACATATGTGCCTGCACGGGCGAGCCCCTTCCCGCGCTATGTGAGTGCGGACTACCGAGTGTCGGCCGGGCAGAAGGACTCGTGGGTCTTCAGGGACCTCCACTCCTGGGACTCCGTGCCCTTCCTCGGCTGGCCCATCAAGGACCAGGGCGACTGCAGTGAGTTCGGGGTCTGGTAATGCTAGTCTGAGCGATTGCAGTGAGTGCCACGCCAAGAGGGGGGTATTCGTTCTGCATTCTTGCATTCTTTCTGCATTCTTGCATTCTTTCTGCATTCTTGCATTCTTTCTGCATTCTTGCATTCGTTTTGCATTCTTGCATTCTTTCTGCATTCTTGCACTCTTTCTGCATTCTTGCATTCTTTCTGCATTCTTGCACTCTTTCTGCATTCTTGCATTCTTTCTGCATTCTTGCACTCTTTCTGCATTCTTGCACTCTTTTTGCATTCTTGCATTCTTTCTGCATTCTTGCATTCTTTCTGCATTCTTGCATTCTTTCTGCATTCTTGCATTCTTTCTGCATTCTTGCATTCTTTCTGCATTCTTGCATTCTTTCTGCATTCTTGCATTCTTTCTGCATTCTTGCACTCTTTCTGCATTCTTGCACTCTTTCTGCATTCTTTCTGCATTCTTGCATTCTTTCTGCATTCTTGCACTCTTTCTGCATTCTTGCACTCTTTCTGCATTCTTGCATTCTTTCTGCATTCTTGCACTCTTTCTGCATTCTTGCACTCTTTCTGCATTCTTGCACTCTTTCTGCATTCTTGCATTCTTTCTGCATTCTTGCACTCTTTCTGCATTCTTGCACTCTTTCTGCATTCTTGCACTCTTTCTGCATTCTTGCACTCGTTCTGCATTCTTGCATTCTTTCTGCATTCTTGCATTCTTTCTGCATTCTTGCACTCTTTCTGCATTCTTGCACTCTTTCTGCATTCTTGCAGTCTTTCTGCATTCTTGCATTCTTTCTGCATTCTTGCATTCTTTCTGCATTCTTGCATTCTTTCTGCATTCTTGCATTCTTTCTGCATTCTTGCATTCTTTCTGCATTCTTGCATTCTTTCTGCATTCTTGCATTCAATCTGCATTCTTGCATTCTTTCTGCATTCTTGCATTCTTTCTGCATTCTTGCATTCTTTCTGCATTCTTGCATTCTTTCTGCATTCTTGCATTCTTTCTGCATTCTTGCATTCTTTCTGCATTCTTGCATTCTTTCTGCATTCTTGCATTCTTTCTGCATTCTTGCATTCTTTCTGCATTCTTGCACTCTTTCTGCATTCTTGCACTCTTTCTGCATTCTTGCACTCTTTCTGCATTCTTGCATTCTTTCTGCATTCTTGCATTCTTTCTGCATTCTTGCATTCTTTCTGCATTCTTGCATTCTTTCTGCATTCTTGCATTCTTTCTGCATTCTTGCATTCTTGCATTCTTTCTGCATTCTTGCATTCGTTCTGCATTCTTGCATTCGTTCTGCATTCTTGCATTCGTTCTGCATTCTTGCATTCTTTCTGCATTCTTGCATTCGTTCTGCATTCTTGCACTCTTTCTGCATTCTTGCACTCTTTCTGCATTCTTGCACTCTTTCTGCATTCTTGCACTCTTTCTGCATTCTTGCACTCTTTCTGCATTCTTGCACTCTTTCTGCATTCTTGCATTCTTTCTGCATTCTTGCACTCTTTCTGCATTCTTGCACTCTTTCTGCATTCTTGCACTCTTTCTGCATTCTTTCTGCATTCTTGCATTCTTTCTGCATTCTTGCACTCTTTCTGCATTCTTGCACTCTTTCTGCATTCTTGCACTCTTTCTGCATTCTTGCACTCTTTCTGCATTCTTGCACTCTTTCTTGCACTCTTTCTGCATTCTTGCACTCTTTCTGCATTCTTGCACTCTTTCTGCATTCTTGCACTCTTTCTGCATTCTTGCATTCTTTCTCCATTCTTGCACTCTTTCTGCATTCTTGCACTCTTTCTGCATTCTTGCACTCTTTCTGCATTCTTGCACTCTTTCTGCATTCTTGCACTCTTTCTGCATTCTTGCACTCTTTCTGCATTCTTGCACTCTTTCTGCATTCTTGCATTCTTTCTGCATTCTTGCATTCTTTCTGCATTCTTGCATTCTTTCTGCATTCTTGCATTCTTTCTGCATTCTTGCATTCTTTCTGCATTCTTGCATTCTTTCTGCATTCTTGCACTCTTTCTGCATTCTTGCATTCTTTCTGCATTCTTGCATTCTTTCTGCATTCTTGCATTCTTTCTGCATTCTTGCATTCTTTCTGCATTCTTGCATTCTTTCTGCATTCATGCATTCTTTCTGCATTCTTGCATTCTTTCTGCATTCTTGCATTCTTTCTGCATTCTTGCATTCTTTCTGCATTCTTGCATTCTTTCTGCATTCTTGCATTCTTTCTGCATTCTTGCATTCTTTCTGCATTCTTGCATTCTTTCTGCATTCTTGCATTCTTTCTGCATTCTTGCATTCTTTCTGCATTCTTGCATTCTTTCTGCATTCTTGCATTCTTTCTGCATTCTTGCATTCGTTCTGCATTCTTGTACTAGCACTGTGCCCACTATTAAAGCTACTCTCTGCGCTTCCTTCTGCTCTCCTACCTACAGATGCATGCTGGGCATACGCAGTGGTGTCGAGCATAGAAGCAGCATACGGCATCGCGACAAACCTAGAGGCGCCAAAGCTGTCAGTGGATTCACTCTTCGTAGCCATGGGCTTCACCACCCAGACAGCCAAATGCAACACTGGAGGCTCACCCACAGATGCCTTTGAGAAACTAATGGCGCTGCCAAAGGGGGCCATTACTATGGACGGCAATAAGGTATGGAAGGCAATAAGGGCGTTTTGAGCACTGTTCAGGTTGTGCGGTCATCTTAAAGGAATAAAAAATAGCTCAATGCCAATGACATTCTCACTCGTTATAGCCCGACACTCTCTCGCAAATCTCTCCTCTCTTTGCCAATCTAATAACCTCATTTTTCTGCCCTTACATCACATTCACTTCCCGTCCCAACCCTCACGACTTACTCTTCTGCATTACAGAAAATCACGTACCCTGTTCAGGGCTTTGAGCGCACTGCATTCAAGGGGTATGTGGGGCTTTTGCTGGCAGTGCAGAAGCAGCCAGAGGTGGTTCACATTGAAGCCACTCTTGCCTCCTTCGCCAAATACGACGGGGTGAGTGAAACCAAGTCGCATTTGTTTGTTTACAAATGGTTGGTTGCTCCTTTCCGCTTCCTGCTTGCCACAAGTGATGTGGCACAGTTTATCGCTACATTTCTACCAGTAATGTGGGAAACAACGAACCTGCATATATGTCATGTAACTCATACAATGTTCTGCTGTTTATAAAAGAACAACCAGTGCTCCTAATGTTTTTTTTTACTTGATATGCACCTTGGCAATGCCTATACGCTGTGCATATACACTTCCTTATTTATGTTATCTAACCAGAATATTTTCATGTTTGCCTTTCTGTCTCCAGACTTTCAAGTACCAGGATCCTGGCTGCTATACCGGCAACCTGAACCACGTTGTACTCGTTATTGGGTACTTCGTTTTGAGGGATGATGGGAGTGAGAACCGCATTGCGCCGCCGTTTTGGATCATCCGCAACTCGTGGGGCGAGGAGTGGGGAGACAGGGGGCACATGCGTCTGGACATGCAGGGAGGCGATGGTGTGTGTGGCATCAACGTGCTGCCTGGCATCTACCCCATTGTCAAGAGTGAGGCACTACCATATCAGCTTGTGTTCCTAATTCTTGAAGGGTCAAAAATCGCTTCCATTCCCAAGAATGGAGCATATCTATGAGTTATTTGCATGCTCCTGGTCCTTTCTATGGAACTTCAGCTTTCCATGGGGTTCATTCATCCTTCCCTTATCTCCTCCTGCCCTCTGTATCTTGTGTGCCATCCAGTTCCCAAGGAACAGTGATAACAGCTTCTTTAAGGGTCAGCAAGCACGTCCATTCCCAAGAATAAGAGCTATTTGCGTTCTCCCTTTCATCTCTTTCTCTTCTGAGGGGTTCATGAGAAAAGCTGACACGTCAGCTTTCCTGAGGTTCATGGGGTTCATCCTTCCCTTATCTCCTCCTGCCCTCTCTCCCTCTCTTCTGTGCCTTCCAGTTCCCAAGGACCCATGCGGCTTGAAGAGCTACAAGGGCGATGGAGATCTGCAGCCCAGCATGAACCCGTGCGGTCGCTTCACCTGCATGCCCAACCTCAAGACCAACAGCAACACCTGCAACTGCACCATTCCGGATCAGACCAAGCAGCCTTTCGTTGAGGCTGCAAACGGCTATGGAAATATCTGTGTATATGGTGAGACACATTCAAAGAGAGTGTATTGTTCTTTAGTTTTTGGAGACATCTGTGTCTACAGTGAGAACAAGTGGAGATGAGATATGGTACCGTGTCTTTTGTGCTTTTCTCATGGTTCTGAAGAACAAAACAAAAACAAAACCTACTTCTGAGTCTACTATACTATGTCTCCCCCCCACCTCCTTCCTCTCCATCCCCTCTTCCCCTCCTCCCCCTCTTTGCCTCCTTATATCACTCCCTATCACCGCTCTCCATCCCTCTTAACAGTGGACGTGTGTGGGTCGTACTTCAAGAACCCTTGTGCCGTGGGCACATGCATCAATGATGGAAAGGGAGCCTACTCCTG